TTCAGAGACTATGTTGTAGGTATAACAGTTCTTTTAGAGACAGACCATAAACCTTTGTTGCAAATATTGCAATCAAAACCTCTTGATGATTTAACACCTCGTTTACTGCGGTTTCGATTACAGTTAATGCGGTACACATATGACATTGTTTATGTTCCAGGAAAAAAATTAGTTACAGCGGATGCATTATCTCGCTCACCCTTGCCCTGCACAGTGCCGGAGGTTGATCTACAGATAAATAGCATTGAGTATGGAGGTGTGGGTGATCATAAATTAAATAAAATAAAAATAGAACAAGGAAAATGTAAGGTTTGTTGCCAAATTACCGAATATACTAAAAAGGGATGGCCACAAAGAAAGGATGTACCTAAGTTTTTACAAATGTATTATCAGTTTAGACATTGTTTTTCAGTAAAGAATGGATATTTACTTTACAACACTAGATTAGTTATTCCAGTAGCTTTACAAAAATTAGTATTGCAAGATATTCATCAAGGTCACTTAGGTATATCCAAGTGCAGGGAAAGGGCAAAGCAGAGTGTTTGGTGGTTAGGCTTATCATCTCAATTAAAAATTATAGTTGAAAACTGTCCTGAATGTATACAAGAAAGACACAATTTAAAAGAACCAATGATAGTAGAAGATGTGCCCAATAGAGCATGGCAGAAGGTGGGAATAGATTTATTTAAGTTTAATAATTATTGGTATATTGTAATTGTTGATTATTACTCGAGATTTATTGAATTATTTAGATTAACTAACTTAACAGAAGAAACTATTATAACTAAATGTAAAGAGACATTTGCCAGATTCGGCATACCTGATATAGTACGTACAGATGGAGGGCCACAATTTAAAAGCAAATTTAAAGATTTTTCTGTCAAGTATAATTTTGAACATATTATAAGTAGTCCTTATTACTCACAGAGTAATGGGTGTGCAGAAGCTGCAGTTAAAATTGTGAAAATGTTGTTGAAAAAAAATACGGATATTAATTTGGCACTTCTGGTTTACAGAAATACTCCTGGTGAGTCTGGTTATAGCCCTAATGAATTAGTATTTAATAGAAAATTGAAAGAAATTTTACCTATTTATCCTGATCAACTTGATGTTAAAGCAAAATTACAAGAAAGATTTAAAGTAAAAAGGTCACAGTTTAGAAATAGAATGGCAACTAATTATAATAATAGACATAAGAGTTCACATCTAAGTGATTTGCAAATAGGAGAACATGTTTGGGTTATTGACCTGAGAAAATATGGTGTGATTGTAAGAAAGGCGAAGGAACCTAGATCTTATTATATTGATATTCAAGGGTTTACTTATAGACGTAATAGATGGCATCTGATTCCAGCGCCTTTCAATTCAAATAAACCTAATGTAAAATCAACAAATGTTGAACAAGAGTCTGAAGTTTGTTCAGAAATGGGCTTTGGTCAGAAATTTTTAGAAGGGGAAGAAAACAGTAAATCTGATTGTAATAATAAGTGTCAGGGAGATGAAGAAATAACAACAAATTTAAATAATAATAATAGTTTATTAGAAAGTAGTGATAATGAAAGCAATAGTAATGAACAGTTTTCCAGTGTTACAGAGGATAATAATTGTATAATTCAAGAAGAGTTGATGAAACGTAGAATAAGAAAGAGACCTAGATATTTAAGTGATTATGATTGTGAATTATAAAGAAATCTTGAGAGGAAGGATGTTGTGGTAGGGCAACACTAATGACAGCCCGCGCATATTATATTGTCGGTTAGAGATTATCTATGGAACTATGGAGGCTGGCTTGGCTAGGTTGTACTTTGTGAGTAGTGTGTTTGTTACAATAATAATAAAAGCTAATTCCTTGAATGTCGAGTTAATCATTTCTACACAAAGGTACCTAACCAAATATACCAAAGGTACTGACTTCTTCTATTTCAGGGCAGTAACACGTATTATTGGAATTTTGTAGGCAGTAATGATTATGGGCTAATATTTGTTTTATAGGAAGGCGTTTTACATAGGGCGATTGAATAACTAATAATTTAGTTGTATCACAATTTAACACTAAGCCAGCTTAAAATCATATTGTAAGAGCACACAAGCTACTTGCGGACCGTACCATAATTCTATTAAACGGTTCACTGTGTGAGTCTCCAACATTTTCTTTGAATTTGCATTTTAAGATAGTTTTCGCAACATTTCAGTAATGGGCCACGTACAGCACAACTGTCGAGCTTGTCAATAAGTCGAATATGAACTAGCATATCAAAGGCGCGCGAAAATTCAATGAACAAAGTTAAAACAGTGTTACCAACTCCCAACAAAATAAAACCCTAAAACCAAACTCAAATAACCCTAAATAGCCCTGAATGGTGTAATCATAAGCCCCAAAAAAAGCCCTGTCCTACTTGTATAGTTTAAAAAAATCTGTTTTATTAAGGTGATTAAAAAAGACCTCAATTTTATTTTCTAATAATGTTTATGGTATTAATTACTTGAAACGCATTCAATTAATTTTGGTAATCTAAAAAAGGTGACTATTTGTCTTTTTTTTAGATGAATAAAAACGTATTCTAATACACTAAACTCTTCTGTCTTTTCTACTATTTCACTTAGAAGAGAGGGGCCAAGCACATTTTGTATAATCATGGAACATTTTATGCGAAATAGACTTAAATACTTTAAAGCATCCGATGACGAATCTATTTGATGAACGAAGCCAGAAAGCATACTATGTTTTATGACTAAAACCAATCTAAAAAAAGTAATAAACCATGACACGAAAATAAAACTACAGAAAATGCAAATAGATTAAAAAATGTCATATTGAAGCCATAGGAATATACTACATAGGTAACCTGCAGACATACACACACGTCCAGCTAAACATTTGCTTCTATATAATGAACAATTGGTACCTGTTTTGTCAAATAATTTAACGTCTCATCCATTGTCGAATTCGAAGAGAAAATAAAGTTCTTTTGTATGTCGTTAACAATGTTAGTTAATCTATTTTAAACCAAATAAAAAGATTTACTGGGTAATTTAGACATTACCTGATTTTTTTATTATTAATTTATTGAATTTTTTTAGCACTAAAATTAGCCCTAAATTTTCTTGAGCCCTAAAAAAAGCCCAATCAGTTTATTTTCGCCCTAAATTTGGGGCTAAAAGCTCTAAGTTGGTAAGCCTGAGTTAAAACTAAATCTCATCTGTAAATTTGGGTCAAAAATTTCGCGGGATGAGGGGTATGGAGGGGGGAAAGGTGACTTAACTACCTGCACTAATTAAGAGTATAAATACTAAGTTTCAAAAAATAGGTCATAATTACCTGAGCTACACATCAATCAACAAGTCAGAAATTTTTCAGCGATGAAGAAGTGAAGAGAAATCTTTTTTTTTATAAGGTTGATAGGTCTAATAAATGTATAAGAGTTAAGGGGGAATACATTGAGAAGGAAAAATAATTTTGTGTTTTATTTCTTACTTTTTACTAATGGTGTGCGGAATCGAATACCATTAATCGATCAATCGATTTTTTTAAAAATCAGTTGCTATCGATTATGATTTACTAATCGACGATTAACAATCGATTATTTCTTAAAACTAGCAATAGGAATAGTTTAAATCGTTAATATAGTACCTACTTACTTTACTTCGATGGCTCAGCAACCCATAGCGGATCGCGAGTGTGAATATTGTGAGTAGATATTCTATTACTTATTATGGCACCCCTAAAATACTCCCACGAACAAAAAGGTAACTTTACTCTTTGGTCGGGGAATTCCCGATGAATGAATGAACGGATCTTACAGTTTTATTTTAACAAATACAAATTAATTGATTCTTACTAAATGCACGTGTAAGTATACACGGTACAATCCTATACCAAAATAATATTTTTTACATTCATTAATAAACATTGTCATGAATCGATTATTATCAATTATTAATCGATTATAGTATTACTCGTAATAAATCGATGTGTATAATAATCGAATCGACACAACATTACTTTTTACCTCCATTCCGCGAACTTTTTGTCCGACCCTCGTATCACATTATGTTTTTTATAAAAATTGTGGATTCGAAAATAATATTAAAGCAATATCGAAAGGGCGATAATTTGAATACTGCTCATGTTTACCTTTTTTATTAACACAACCCAACTTAAACTCACTGGGGTAAGAGCCATATTTCACAGTGCAGTTAATTAAATTAGCAATAGCTGTAGAAATTTCTTATCCCATCAACTTTATATGACTTATTTTATATTATTCAGCCCCGGAGTCTTATTTAAGTTCATTTTTCCAATAATTCCTCGAATATCGTCACAAGTAGCTTTTTTTTAATAGATACTACAGTTGAGTGTTTCAGAAGACACATGGGCCTTCGGCTAGGATTATCTTCAGTACAAAGAGCAATAAGAGTATACTTTAATTTTTCAGATAGTAATAAGGTTCATTTTCGTAATATCATTTTTTCAACGTCTATAGTAGCTCTATTTCATTTACCAACTCATTCTTATTACTTTTTATCGCCGCGCGTCAAATCAGGCTCAAGGAAGGCACTGTTAAACGGAGAGTACTCCATGTTTATTAATAACATTGCCAAAACGAATTTAATACTCTGTCACTCTGGAATCAACTAGTCCAAGTGTAACTTTGGATTAGTCTAAGAGCAGGTCATTTTTATTTAAACAGAGCATGATTTAATAAACATGTAATTTAATTTATTAAAGTTATTAACGAATGTAGTCTATAACGGAACGTTATTTTTCAAATATGGCGAGCTCATATTAATAACATTTCCGAAACGAATTTAATACTCTGTTACTCTGAAATCAACTAGTCCAAGTGTAACTTTGGATTAGTCTAAGAACATCTCATTTTTATTTAAATAGAGCATGATTTAATTAATATGTAATTTAATTTATTAAAGTTATTAACAAGTGTAATCGTCTATAACGGAACGTTATTTTGCAAATATGGCGAGCTCATTCATTCGTACTTGTCATTTTTCTGTGATGCTTGCTCGTTACACAAAACTTTAGTATTTTGTGGCTTTAAAATGGCTGACACCGGTTCACGTATGAATTTTGGGGCTCTTAAAAGGGCAGATCCATATGCCAGAGAAATAATCGACAGTGCTACTCACGTCGCCCTATATACATATGAAGAAAATAAATGGGAGAAAACGAACATCGAAGGTGCTTTGTTTGTGTACAGTAGAAATGGAGAACCGTATCACAGTCTTGTGATTATGAATAGGTTGAGTACTATTAATTTGATTGAACCAGTGTCGAAAGGTATAGAATTACAACTGACACAGCCGTTTCTCTTGTATCGTAATGCCAAAGGTCTCATCTACGGCATATGGTTTTATGATAAAGGCGAGTGCGTTCGGGTCGCTACAAAGTTGAATTCTTTGGTGGAAGAGTCTATGAAACAAGTTCCTGTTGAGAATGTGACTCAAAATCCTGTCTACAGTTCATCTACACCTTCAGCGGCCCCCGTCGACATATTTAGTATGTTGAGTAAAGCTCAAGATGATTTTAATTCGAATAAGGGCCTATTGTCTAATAAGACCGATTCAACTACATCAAAAGCACCCGATATGACGTCTCAAAGTGTTATGGATTTTTTTGCTAAAGCTGGGAGTGGAGGAGCGGTGCAAATGCCGGCTGTATCGTCACTACCGTCGCCGGGAATTTTCGGTCCGAGACCGTCCGATGCACGGGAAGCGCCGTTACTCTTGCAAAGGCTTATGAGTAATCCTGCACACTCTGTGGAACATATAGAAAAACAACAACGTTCTGTTACACCCCAAGAGGCTCAATGTTCAAATGGTAACGTTAACCTAGATTCGGTTATGGGGCAGGGTAGTAGTTATCAGATGAAATCAACTCCAATTGAAAAGCAAAATCATCAGAGAATACCTAGTCTGAAAAAAAGACTACCCCAGCCACTAGATGGTATTGACAATGGATCTAATCCCTTGGACATAGATTTGAATTTGATGCATATATCATCACCCAAGCCAACATCACCCCTGGCATCTTATTTGAATCAATCTCAAGATATAAGTCACTCAGTCTCAGTGAGCACTCACAATGGTAGTAAGATTGATGACGTGGCAATGTATCCCTTAATGAATTCTCTGAACACACCACAAAAGCCAGCTCTGATGCCACCGACAATGTTTACTGCAAGCACTGGTGGTGACATTCAACCGTCTCCAGAACCTCTCACTAGGAATCAGCTTCTGCAAGCTTTCAATTATCTTCTTAAACATGATGCTGATTTTGTTAACAAGTTGCATGAAGCCTATGTAAAATCTTTTTCAGAAAAGGCTTTTTCAGTGTCATAAAATTCATTTTTTTTGGACGAGTAGCTGATGTTGCCAGCTGCTACTGTACAGTTGTAATTTGAAGTAAAAATCCATTAAAATATGTAGACCTTATAGTTTTGTAGTTACTCATTGTTTGGACCGAGTATTTTTAAATAAGTTTTAAACCTTTGACTTGTCATAAAAATCTGTATACAAAAAGAATTTTTGTGATCAGTAGTCTTTAGTTGAACTTGTGTTGTTAAAGAGAGTCCTTAAGCAGCTATTTGTGATATTTGTATTGGCTTCAGCTTGAGGTTCCACATTGTGAAATTAAATACATCCATATTCTTCTAAAGACCCCATTACTGTCTTTAATATCTTCGAGCCATTGCAATGTAATTGAATGTAAACTAAAGAAGAGAATGTGACAATACTTATTTTTTGTAAACATATTTATCTCTTGTAGATACAAAAAACTTTATGAATAAGACATCTTTGCAATGAACTATTTTTTGAAAATAAGGACATTATTTTGATTATAATGTTATAAGGACTGCAACAATTTTCTATTACTTTACATAAATTATAATTTCTTGTTTGACCTTGATCTGATTTAGACAACAATTTTCTTATTGTGTATAATTCTTCAATACCTTTAAAAAATTTCAGTTAAAATTTTCCCCAAAGTTTATAAATTTTTTGTCAAAGTTTTTTCAATTGTATTGTTTAATTAACAGAGTTCCATTTGAATTTATATTATCAATGACAGTTTTAACTTTTTTAAGGATGAAAAAATTTAGTTTTTTAATAAGTAACATTTTTCCTAAGCATTAATTTTATACTGATTTATATAGTGTTTCATATTAAACTCGGAGAAATACTGAAATTAGGAAAATGATGCAGCATAAAATAAAGGTGTATTAGAAATGAAACAAGATTAATTCTGTTTAAAAGTCTAAAATGGGACATGCTAATTGTGTGAAACACTTTGTTTAAAGTTAGTTAAAAATAGATCTTACTGAGCTCTGTTCACAAGATCTTCAAAAAATTGCTGTTGTTCATAAAGTGAAATAGGGAGTTAGGGAAAATAAACACATCATTCCTTATAATTTTGGCCTACATAAACAACTGTATGACATTTGTAATTTTTACATTTAAAGGTACAAGGTATAATAAATACTCCCTGAAATTATTACATTATTGTACCGCCGCCTGAGGAAATTGTAACAACTATAATGTTGACTAAATTATTCGGACGAAAATTTCTCAGATATCATCCATTTATAGTCTCAAATTAAAGAGTTCAAGATTACAAACATCTCTTTCATTTATTTAATTATCTTTGTGGTTTATAGTTTAGCAGCGCCACCTTCTGGAATTAAAATCTAAGAGTTTCATTTATGCTTTATTTATAGGTATGTATTTATGCATCTGTCTCTAGTTACACTACAGCGCCAATTTAGAACTTGTTATCCTAATAGCGCAAAGGCGTTCAAAATATTTATTTTCAATAATAAAAAGTTTAATTATAAATACTTAATGCAATATATATGATGTTGTCTAATATGGAGAAAGTAAAGTTCAATATCTTTTGCGTCAATTAACACTTGTAGTAAGTTTTGTGCCGGTATGTATAAATGGTAAGAGAATAGTAATGCATTTTATAATTCCTTATCAGTTATTTTTCTATTTATCGTACAACTTTGAGATAAAAAATTACTATTATGCTATTCCAAAGGAATCTTTTTAATGAAATATTTTTATAATTAAATACTTCAATGAATGGTTATCATTGGTTTATTTATCACGTTTAACAACAATACAGACACATAATTTTAGAAAACAGTATGTTCATTACATACAATCTCCTTCCATTAAGAAAATTACTGTAATATTAATTCTATTATTAACATCGATTTCTAATTATACAAACCATGTAAAGACTAATTTATATTACAAAGAATGGCAAATAAAGAAAATAAAAATTAAAGGAACACTCGAAATAATATCAATTTTAGAAAAACGTGATATACACACAGCAGCGCTTCAAGTTACTATGATATGTCTTTGAACAATTAGTTTTAAACTTTAATTTTAATGTACTAATGTTTAAAATCAATTGAATTAATTCAACAGATTAGTATAACCTGATGTGCTGTCGACTGTACATTTCATGACCATAGATAATTAAATATATTCATGTCAGATGCTTATTTTTCATAAAATGTAAACGTTTTTTTACTGACACATAGATGGCGCTAGTGAAAATAGTAACTAATTTTTAGACAATGAAAATGCTTACATAACACATGTTGACCGATTAGTAAGCATGTGGCCGCTAAAGAATGATCTTGCATATCAGCTAAATTACATTGAAACATTTGTCAATTTGTTAAAGTGGGAAACTTAACATGCCGTTATTGAAAGTAAAGAAAACCTCCCTTTTTGAAGTCAGTCAATAACAGGTAAATACAAATATTTGCCATAACAACACCCATAATAATTTGAGCCTTATTTCAATACACAGTAGTTGGTTACACACATTCGGAATTAAATTATGTTATCTATCTACAGATGCGACAGTAGAATTTCTTTAATATAGCCTCTATTTATTTATTTATAGGACACCAACAGAGCATGCATTAATACATATTTTGCAATACAGTATCAGTACAGTATCAATAAATTATCTCTATGGTCATGTACAGTTAGATACAACCGAAGTGGCTCATTGATGTAACTACGCAGTCGTCCAATCGGAATTATTCTAGTATTACGCCATCGGGCGATCAACCAATATCCATGCGCCTGACACCCGCTGTGTGTGAGTGAGACAGACACCTAATGCGATGTATTTTACACCTTATTGTTATAAAAAATTAGACTCACTATAAATTGTAATGGTACGGTCATTCATTATTAGCGTTGGTAAATGTGCTCTGCGCAAACGAAAAGTTCATGGTGGCTATATTAGTTGAAACTTACTGTAACTAAATATTAGCTAATAATGATAATTAAATTTACAATAAATCAATTGTAACTAACCAGTGTGCACACAGCCCATTAACAAAAATATTTACAAAATATGAAGTCCACCCTTGTATAAAAATCTAAATTTATAAGATAATGTCTAATTGTCTTTTTATGCCATCAAAAAATTTCGATAGCGACTTTTACAACTTGCTGGAATTCTGAAGCAACTTTTCCTATAATGATGTTATTATCAACTATATTTTGTAATGAAAAAAAAAAAAAAATGGCCTCTTGTCATAAAATGGTGATTTATTACTGTGGTCAGTGAGTCGTTACATAATGGGAGATAGTTTTTTGTAGGCTGGAAACCTTTATATATCACATAGATTGGGCATAAAAAATTATAAGGCCTATTACAGACTAGACTTTACTCAGCGCGCGCGTTCCTCTAACGTGTGATGAGAGAAGATTTCTTAAATTCATGTTTTACTCAATTCATCATACTTCTCTTGTAGATACAAAAAACTCCATATAAAATGCAATCATGATGTTTTTATGTTCAAAATCATTTTAAAATTAGTGTTTAGATATACTTAAAGTATGTATAAAATTATTCTTTTGCCTATAATTTTATCAACACATTTTTTTTATGTAAAATTTTCGCTAGGTATCGTATCTCCCATTTCAGATTTGACTCACTCACTATACTTAACAAATTTTGAAAATCCAGATATATTATCATATCAAAATTTGAAAAGATCATAATTAGTCTAGTAAGTTGTCACTGAAAAAATATTTAAATTTATAAAATTAACCAAGTGTCTTTATTGAACTAAGTCGAAGAACTAGAAAATAGAATAGAAACAATATTTAGTTAATAAGAAAAAGAAAACAATACATGAAATACAATTAAATTCAGTTGTATAAATTAAATAAAGGGGGTAAGAAGGTACACAACCTTATAAATACTTATATGCTTGCCAATAGGAAATTTATAACCATTATGAAAAAGATAAAACACTGTTTGCCGTTTACAACTAGTGTAACACAATGCTTACAAATTGCTTATAGGTAAGACCTTTAAGCCGGATTTACATTACGAAAGTCCATGAAACAACTTTCATTGCATTAATTCTTATTAGTCGTAATAGTCAATAGTCAAAAGTGTAATAGTCTAATTTCGCAATGCATGCGTTATTTTCACGACACTAAAGTGTATTCATGGGATGCGCATATTTTTTATGAAAGTAGTTTCACGCAACAAATTTTGCCTTTTGAAGCCGATGTTAGTTACGTTCGACTTGTTTTTAGTATCATGCAAACAACTGCCTTAATGTAAATTCGGCTTTACTAAGAATTATGCAAGTAGGTGATTAAATTATACAGAATTAAAGAAACAATATCGCTAAATTTTGTTTCTTGTCAACAAGATACCACAGAACACTTTGACGTCTTTATAATAAAGTTGAAAATTGTTTTTTTTTTATCAATACACACTAGGTTGAAGGTTAATTATGTTCTGAAACCACTTGAATACATTTTACATTTCAACAAAATTTACTAATATGTTATAAGCAAACAATACAAGGTCAAAAGATTGGAAGTACTGACTTATATCATTAACACATAATGAAGACTCGGGGGACCATGGAAGACAACCCATATTCTCTTCATGTTCTGTGGAAATAATGGAAGTTAAATTATTTATCATATATTATTCACATACCAAATTTAATTGGTAAAGCATCTATAAATGTAATGTAATAATTTTATTTATATATTATATTTATACATTTTTTATTAAACTAATTAGGTATTTTAAACACTCATTTTATTTTAAACTTCAAGTAAGTAACCTTAAAAATATCAAGAAATAATTACAATGATATTTTGTTGTATTGTGCAGGAGTGGCATCGGTTAGTTGAAGCATCGCGTGAGATGGGTATTATGTGATATAATAGATCATTTTCATCGCACGAAGATATTGCTTTATGGGTTAGTTTGAACGCCAAATAGGACGTTTCCTGAGAGCATGGTCGTCTTCTATTTGACATATATTACAATTTTCGTCACCGGTCAATGTGTAAAACGGGGGTAAACTTACATAATTTCTAAGCTGCTATCACTGTTTTTAGTGGCCTGTTCGCCTTCGCTGGAATTCGAACCGCCAGATTCTGATCGCTGGCTGCGACTTCTGTGAGGCTTCTGTTTTTCTTCCGTGACTGCTTCCGTGGAGGTGGCTTCTTCCGACTGCCTCTGCCATGCCGGAATGGACGGCGGATCGGATCGTGTTTTAATTGCAGGGAATTGGTTCCTGATTAATAAATAAAAAAAACATATCAATTAGTTTCATTCAGATAAGTACTTATGAAGTTTGTTACCATTTGAAAAAAGAAATCAGATTGTCTACTACGCGCGATTTTCGTATTGAGAGGGAAGGTTGTTTCACATCATAGCAAATAGTTAAGAAGACTAAAATATAATAAGATGGATTAAATACATGATTAAAATATATTAATATGAAAAGTTATTAATATGGATAAAATGGACATTGAGAAGTGTAACATCAGTCTATTTTAATTTATAAAATATTTATTTTATACATTCAGAAAAAAGAAATACAATTAAAATGTTTTTGACATATTTCGGTAGTTATGATATTAGTATTGAGTGTTATACGTAACAGTTTAGGTAAACGTAAATGTAACGTGTTATTACTTGACCCATGGGCCCCAAAGGGGAACTACAATAGGGATGACGACTGGGTAAAAAAAATCCAATTCTATTTAGTCCGTCAGTCAGATAATAGAAAAATATTAGATACGTATTTTTTTTACTTCCTTATAACAAGAAATAGATAACAGGCATTAAAGTTGAGGAGTGGGGGCTCGCTACGTCACAGTTGAGTAGAAAACGTACCCTAACGTGACGTCATGCGAAATTTCAACTCCAAAAAATATGAAGCACGTATTTTTTTATATTTTTCGTAATCATAAAATTACGACGTTATAATTTTATGATTACGAAAAAAATAAAAAAATACGTGCTTCATATTTTTTAACACTCTACCTGACGGCCAAACAAACAAAAAAATAGTCATCATCCCTATTCTGGTTTATTATGTGAGTATTTACACGTTATAATTTTACAATATTCATTAACATTTTCAAGAGAATCTGGGCTTAGATTATGCAACTACACACCTCTTTCTCCAACAATAGCAATGAGAATTTCAAAGTACACATTATGAATGGGAAACTAGTGCCATTTCTTAGAAATATTTCATGTTTCGAATTTCGTGTTGTCAATTGTTGATATTTCTTACTTTACTTGTTTATATTATTACATTACGCACCTTTTCCATAACTGATAAAATCTTTGAGTTACATAATAATAAATATTGAGCTATATTCTTAATCACGTCACTAACAGCTAGTTGCACAAACGCCCATTAAAATTGTCATTAGTTTAAAGCTACATTACCCATACACATTTGACATTCATTAGACTTTAAAGGCGCCATTAAATCTTAATGGACGTTTGTGCAACTGACCGTAATGCTGCTGTTCTTGTAAATAATACGATAATTTGGTTCAGGTTACCTTTGAGCCCTAGCTAGCCGTTAGTGGCTTCCCCCACATGGTGAAACAGTACCTTTTCCCTAGGGCACTATTCAGTGAAATAAAAAGTAGTATATAAACATAAATATTTAGGCATCGAATTATCCATATACCAAATTTCATCAAAATCCATACAATAGTTTTTGCATGAACGCTTAACAAATATACACCTTCACAAACATTTGTAATTTTAGAAGGATAAAGTATGTAAAATTGAATTTCCTGTATAAATAATAATACCATTTGTTGTATACGAGGGTCAAACTGAAAGTTCTTAGAACTGGCCACTTATAAACAATATAATAAAAAAATAATTCTAAAATTTGAAAATATAACTCTTTGCCAATATTACTGAGTATATATTTCATTCATTTGTCATTTGTTTTACGATTTGGCGGCAAATTGAAAATTGTCTGTGTCACGTCATCATGAATTTAACACGAGAAAATTTTCGTGCAATGATTTTTTATGACTTTCGATGTCATTTAAGTCAACAAGAAAGTTATGATAGACTACGATTGGCCTTTCACGATGAAGCCCCATCTCGTGCGACTGTTTACAACTGGTTTAATGAGTTTAAACGTGGTCGCACTAATCTCACTGATGATTTACGTGAGGGACGGCCTTCTACGGCGACGACTGAAGATAACATCTGTGTTGTGCGGCGTATGATAGAGACTGACAAAAGAGTGACCTATCAACAGATTCGGACAAGCTTAGGCATCGGTATGAGTCAAGTGCACAAAATCCTCCACGAACATTTAGCGGTCAGGAAGCTTTGCGCCCGGTGGATACCTCATAATTTGACTGAGGCTCAAAAACTCCATCGTGTGGATTGGTGTCGTAAAATGATTGAAAGATTTAACGGAGGTGACTCAAATGCTGTGTTCGACATACTAACAGGTGACGAAAGCTGGATTTACTGTTATGATCCTAAAACCAAAAGACAATCTGCTCAGTGGGTGTTTCCTTTCGAGGAGTTGCCAACTAAAGTGAAGAGAGATCGAAGTGCGGGAAAAAAAATGGTGGCCTCGTTCTTTGGAAGGATAGGTCATTTTGCAACAATTGTGTTAGAGGATCAAAAAACAGTTTCTGCAGAATGGTACACTACCAATTGTTTGCCACTTGTCTTGGAAAAAGTTCGAGAGAAACGACCTCGCAGTAGGATCCTCCTTCACCACGAAAACGCCTCGTCGCACACCGCCAAGCGAACGATCGACTATTTGGCGACATCAAACGTTGAATTACTGGGTCACCCGCCGTATAGCCCCGACCTCGCGCCTTATGATTTTTATTTATTTCCAAAAATTAAAGAAAAACTTAAAGGAAAGCGGTTTATGAATGCTGAAGAAGCAGTGGCTGCGTATCGCGATGCCATTGAAGAGACCCCTAAGGACGAGTGGGCAAAGTGCTTTTCCCAGTGGTTCCATCGCATGCAGCGGTGTATTGACGTGAATGGACAATATTTTGAAAAGATATAATAAAACTAATAACTGGCTAATGTAATCAGTTTTTGATTTTCTAAGAACTTTCAGTTTGACCCTCGTATTAGCATAAATCAGCATATTGTGGATTCATATAGAAGCTTCAAATACTAATGCTATGATTACGCCGATTCTCAATTTCTCGAGATTGAAATAAGTCTCCCTGCACTTGTTAACTGTTTATTGTTAACTTTGAAGTTTTACAATTGACCCTCTCTCCTCCGCTTCGTACATTACGTTACGTGACGTCACGGTCCGAACAATCATCATATAGATAAAATTAATGAAAACTGTAAAATCTATAGTCAATGCAAAGTTATATCTATCTATAGATATGTTGACAACTATTCATATACATTTTTGTAACAGAGAAAAAAGTACAATCTTTCTCTTTTGCTAAAGTAGAAAAAATGGTAAATCCCTCATCTCCTTGGATCCGTTTGGTAGATATTCATACAACAGACCATCATACTACCACCTGAAACTCCACAGTGTACCATCACCTAGGAAATGAGAATGAGAAGCTATAACAGTCACTAGGACACTTGTATCCACTAAAAGGAACCCAGCAACCTCTTGCTGATGAAAGAGCTATGGTACACCTGAACCCTTCTCAAACAGGAAAGGCCATTCAATACTGAAGTAGTTGTAACTTAAACTTTACACCAAGATTTCATTTTCAGGTACAACAATTAATTTTTAAGTATCTACCATTATCATCCTAAATATCTAATTCTCAACAGGATTCCTAATTAAAAAAGTTGATTATTTTATATCTGTTATTTATCCATATTACTGTAAGTTACTGGCAACAATTTTTAAAATACAGAAAGGCAATTAAATAAACTTTTATTGTTGTAGTTAAACAATAACATTACCTTTGAAATCACATTGAACACTAAGTGTAATGAAAACATTTATGAAAAATGTTTTTTATCATAAATGCCCCTTTGGCTTTTAATATTTGTTTTTGATTTTGTAGGTCCATCATAGACAATTTTCTCTATCAGAAAAACCATATTTGATAGTTGTTTAAAATTATTTCCCTTTAATAACAACAATCAACAAAAGTCCAAAATGATTTTGTGTAGTATTTTATAATTATCAATGACAATTATCACTCTGAACCCTGATGCTCATATATTGACATAGGAGAATATAATGGTTTTATAAGGGAAAACTAACCGATGCAGGCTGAATAGTATTTCGATATCCAACTTCTCACATAATTAATATGTCCAAGTATAATTAACTTACCTATTCAGTAGTATTCCTTTCACAGAAGCAATGTCAGACTTGATGTTGTCCAGTTGTGATCGTAATATGCTGTGCTGTGTTGTTGCTTGCATATCTGATCGCAGCGATGTCACATTAGCATTTAAAATGTCTAGGGATTTACGGAGTTCATCTATACACTCTGAAGTTGATTTTCTCTTTGGTTCTTCAATGAAGAGTAAATGTCTTATACAATTCTAAAACAAATAATAATATGATAATGATTCTGATAATTATTAAAAACAAACCTAATTTTGTTATGAATTTTTCTATATCTTTCTACAGTAGTTCTTTAGAAGTTACAACAAACCAAACATAATAATTGTAATTTAACAATAGTATTTTTATATTTCACTTACAAAACAACAAAATGTCTTTGTACTTTTTTAACTAATATTTTTCAAGATTGTTTAAAATATACATACAATTTCAAGTTACTTTCATCATTATGATATTCCATAAATAACATCAATTGACAGAAAATAAAATATATTTACCTTATAGAACCAATAGCATCCATAAGCTAAACCTCCATAAATAATAAATGGCATTACATTATCTTTAAACCATGACCGCCTTGACTGATGAAAGAACATTAGTTCTGATGTAATTGATGGCACATCAATCAGTTCACCACATTTCTCAATCGCTTTCTGTATCTCTATATCTGTAAGTCCTTTACTACGTAGAAATCTTTCTTTGCTTTCCATAGTACAGCGTTGTACACTAGGGTTTGTTAAAAATTTTATAGCAGTAGACACCTGTATATAGAAAAGAAAAATAATTCAAAGACTAGAAAATTTTCAAAATCATGTCACTAAACAATCATTGTCAGGTAATGGATTATTTAAAATTCAATTATGTATAGATTGATAACAAGATACATGAGATAAGAGTGTTTGATTAATGGTTATTCACAACATGGCATAATGTCTATCTTGTTGTGTAGCTAATCTTGCTAAAACGTAAGTTTGATAGACTATAGGCGTTTTAAACAAAGAAATACTTAATTATTCAAAGAATTTATGCAAGAGCAAAGGTCGAAAACTAATTAGTTTTATCTATACTATTAAACCCAATAACGTAATCTAATGAGGGCAAAATCTTGCGAGTTATATTAAAATATATAGCTTTAATTAGGGATATTAAACACAAGAAAAATAAAAGAATAGAAAAAATACCAAGTTCTCTCGAATATCATTTGAAGAAGTTACAAGTGTTTCAGGTCCCATTCTTGCAAAGTTCGGTTTTAAACCATACAGAGTGATGACAATAATTTACAAAAGTCTCACAAATTTTTTTTATGCAATTTTATTTGAAAATAATTAACTCTTTTTACAGGAAAGAAAAGAAATCCCCACCACCACTTTTTTTAAGAATTGCTTGACAAAGACGGCAATTCTTTTTTTTTTTTTTTTTTTAATTTGTTCTCTTCGGAACAGGCTAAGATCATAGACCATGCTGCCTTGTCATTAGTTTAATTGTATTTCTTTGTATTTATAATAAGATAACAAGTCTTTAGTATACCTATAATAACTTTGTGCAGTACTAAAAATAAGTATTTACATAAGTAAAATATTCCTATGTGAAGTCGAACGTCAAAAAGATAAAATAAAATATTCAAATCTATTCAAATATACAAGATAAAATCAAAGAGAGCATCATATACAAAGTACTCTTTGGAGACCATCTAAACTATTCTAAACTAACTGAACATATTCATTGAAAGACACCAGTCAAATATAAAAATAAATTCTAGAATTGTTAGAAGAAAATAAAATTAGAAAAAAATGTTAAATAGTACCAACAATCAGAGCATAACTTAGAATAATAACTAAAAACCAAAAAGTAAAGTGAACTATACCAGTCCTATTCTTTGAAAATTAACAGTTTCTCTTAAAAAACAAAAAAATCAAAATAAAAACAAAGACAATAACAACAATCTAACCTTATTGGACCATTTAACGTGTACACCTAAATTTGCCCAATTGTGCTTTCAATAAATTTGAACAAAGGTTTATAAGTGGATGTATTTACAAGCAGATTCGAAATGGAGCGCGGTACCAGTTCCGGACTATTATATATCTCAATCAGCTCATCCATCAGCACAAGGCGCTGGATGCCAAAGGATGGGCACTCAAAGAATATATGCTGCAAAGACTGTTCTGCTTGAGTATCGCAACAGTCGCAAGAGGAACTACGTGCTATATTTAGTCGATAGAGGTGGTAGTTTAGACGACAGTGACCGAAACGAAGCCTCAAAATAGTTGTGTAAAATTTCCTATTAAAGTAAGTCTTACTTTTGCAGAACCAAGGTGTCGAATTTACAGGCACATTAAAAGAAGCATACCATAAACCTTTGTTTTCTATTTGTACTTTAAAATTCCAATGCTTTTTCCACAAATCTGTTGATCTGTTTTTTAAAAGAGAAACAATGTCAGTATTTGGTACAGTTACATTAAGACTATTGCTGGAATCAGGGATAATATTTGAAGCGTTGGTTATAAATCTTGCCAAAAAGTCAACTTTTTCATTTCCAACCACACCTGTATGTGAAGGAACCCACAAAAATGAAACTTGAATGTTATCCACAGAATACAAGTCAAACCAAAATTGTTTGATTGAAAAGATAAGGTAGTTTGTATTGGCATTGAACTTATTATTTTTCAGATTTTCCAAAACACTCATGCTATCACTAACTATTACCCACTTACGACATCCATTATTTTTATATTTAATGTGTTTTAAACCTGCAAGGATAGCCAGGGCCTCTGCTGTAAATATGCTTGTATTAGGATTTATTTTGAAACCTGTACCTAAATTCAATTGCCCATCAAAAATTGCAAATGAGACAGCACACTCAGTTTTTGAACCATCTGTGTATAAAAACCTATGACCAGAAAACTCAGAAAGTTTATAACTAACATCTTGCTTAGAAGATAATTTATGATCAATGATAATATTTATTGCAGGAAACTTACTGTCAAAGTCTCCTTGATAGCAAGGTAGCAGTTCTGATTTATGGATTTGGAGACCATCAAGATAATTTATAAATTGGGAGAAACTATGGAGAATGTAAAGATTACAGTTTGAAGTGCATGAATTTAGCAAGTTTAAAAAGAGGTGATTATTTTTCTTTGTGTATAGTTTTAAAATAAATCGTTCTTTTAAGTATGAAAGTCTTATACTTAAAGGAGGTAATCCACACTCAACTTGTAATGAATTTATAGGTGTACTTTTATATGCTCCAGTTATAAGTCGCATACTTTTATTTTGAATTTTTTCTAGTTTGTCAACCAGTCTATTATCACCAGAAAAACATAGAAACCCATATTCAAAATGACTGCGAATAAGAGATTTATAAAGTATCAATAATATTTTGGGATCAGCTCCCCAGGATGTTCTGCATAATGATTTTAAAATGTTGAATGCTTTGTTGGCCCTTGAACTTATAATTTCAACATATTTACTCCATGATACATTGTGAGTAAATACTACTCCTAAAAACTTTGCCTCACAAGAAACAGGAATAGGGATTTTGTTGTAATATACATTAGAGGCTGAGTTATGAATTTTTCCAAATACAACATATTTTGATTTGAGGGCATTGATATCTAAATTTAAATATGAAAAATAATTATATAAACCTTCTAAAGACTTATTTACAATATTAGTAATTTCTGTTAAATTTTTTCCAGATGCATACACTACGAGATCATCAGCAAACTGTAAATTTTTAACATGAGAACCTAGTACCAGGTTTAGTCGTCTAATATACAAAATAAACAATAAGGGAGAAAGAATTCCTCCTTGACAAACTCCGATAGATGCCTGTCTAGGACCATATAGTTTGTAATTATGTTTAACATATACTTCCCTTTCTGTCAAAAATTTATGGATCCATTGAATTATTTTACTTGGAACTCCTATACAAGCCAATTCAGAACAAAGAATATCAATATTTACATTATTAAAGGCACCAGAAACATCAAAAAATACAGATAACAAGAAATTTTTACTAACTAAGCTATTTTGGATATCAAGATGAAGTTGGCTAATGCTTTCACGGGCAGACATGCCTCTTCTAAACCCAAATTGATTTGCAGGTAAAATATGATTTTGTTCCACAAAAAACTCTAGTCTTTGTTTTAATAACTGCTCGAAGATTTTTCCAACACAAGATGTAAGTGCGATTGGACGATATGAGTTGGGATTTGATTTGGGCTTATCTGGCTTCAAAATGGGTACTATACAATCGGACTTCCATGAATCGGGTATATCATTATTTAACCACAAACTATTCAGAATGGACAAGAAAATTTGAAGACTATTGTCACTGAGTCTTTTGAGCATGAAATAGGGGATGCCATCCAGACCAAATGCTGTATCCCTTCTGGAGCGAATAGCAGACGACAACTCTTGAAATGAAAATGGTTTAATCAGATAGTTATTTGAAGGAATCATATTATCAACTATGGGAAAACTAGAAGTGTTATGTACATAATCTGGGGTATACTTTTGTAAAAATTCTGGGATCCAATCATCATCACTATTGTTATACAAATATGTTTTATTAAATTTACGCATGAATTTCCAGATTCGAGACAAAGGAGTACAACGATTAAAGGAATTACACAATTCAATCCAGCTATTATTTCTCTCAGTTTTCAAGGTAAGTTTTTTTAAAGCTTGTAGCCTTTTGAACTCTATATATGTTTCATTAGAAGGATTATTTTTAAAATTTAAATACGCCATTTTCGATCTTTGAACTGCTTCAAAACATTTTTTGTTCCACCAAGGCAGAATTGGTGTTTTCGTAGTACGGGTATTATTACTATTATTGATAGACGCAGGACTAGTAAATGGAAGGGACCTTTCTATAGCTAAATTCATGATTTTACAGAATACAGAATGAGCTTCTAATGGTGTATAATTTTCTAGTTTGAAAGTTGTTAAAAGGGACTCAACATTTTGTGTATACATTTTCCAATCGACCATTTTAAAATTAGGGTGGATGGGCAAATGTATACCGCGATTATTTGAAACAGAACTTTTGTTGCCATTTTTACTAAAGAGGACTTTGATTATTATAGGAAAATGATAGCTGCCAAGTGGATCATTATGCACGGACCAGTCACATGAAAGAGCCAACGACGGAGAAACTAAAGATAAATCCAAAGCATTAGAACGCCAAGTCATTGAACCAACTGTGGTCACTTCACCATTATTCAAGAGAACTAAATTATTATCATCAATGATTTCCAGGACATCTCTACCTCTAGCATCGACAGAGTTACATCCCCAAGAAGTATGATGGGCGTTAAAGTCGCCAGCAAAAATCATTGGTTTTGGAATTGATTTTACTAAACAGTCAAATTTATATTTGTCAAAGTTTGGAATACAATTTGTAGGACAGTAAAAACTAACAATGCTTAATTCTTTGTTATTTATAGTAACTCTGATGCAAATGTTTTGCAAACAGCTATCATAATAAGTAATGATTTTATTGTAATTTATATTATTTTTAATTAGAATAGCTACACCATTATGTTTGTTGCCAGTATCATTTCTTTCAATTTTGTATCCTTTAATGTTAAAGTTCTTATTAGGTTGTAACCAAGTTTCGGATATAATAGCTATATGAATACTATTTTCATAAAGAAATTGAGTTAGAAGAAGCCTATTACTGATAATGCTTTGGGCGTTCCATTGCATGATATTAACTGTATCCATTATTTGGAAGGAGATATATTGTTTCTGAATGATTGATGTAAGATTTCTTTTATAGTAACTGAATTTATGGGGTTGTCCTTTTGATTAGAAATGAGTTTGGTAATTGCTTGTGTGAGAACATTCATGAAAGTATCTGATTTTGTTAAATTTTGGATCTGGGTTTCTAGTGTTTTAGTATGTAAATGTGGGAAAGACGATTCATTAAAGAGTTCCGAATATTTAGTAGTTTTGGATTTGATTTTGTTTTCTTCAATTTTTATTTTCTTTTTAGGACATGTATTGGAAATTGCAATATGATTCCCTCCACAATTTGCACACACTGCATTTGTAGGGTTTTCTTTACACTGTCTATAATTATGATTTTGTGTACAGATGGAACAGACCTCCGCATTTCTGCAGAATTTTGCAATGTGCCCAAAACGTAAGCAACGTAAACATTGTTTCACTGGTGGGATGTATACATTAACCTCATGTCGCCATGAATCGAGGTAAACATACT